GAGGACTTTTGACAGGTGGTTCTTGGACGGACGTGGAGCCAGTGGAGGCTTCTGGAGGCATGGTCTAGTGATGTGTCTCGGAGCGGCACGTGTGGAGTGAGAGCGGGCAGCGTATTCTGGGTATGTTGGAGTTTATTGAGGAGGCTTGGATGGGTATGCATAGGCTCTAGAGGATGCATTGACGTAGTCGGATGTCGTGAGTGATGAATGCATGAATCAGGATTTCAGCAGGCAGAGTGAGGAGATGTTGTGTTGTGGTATGGGCGGATACGGGGCAATGTTTTTGGAGTGGAAAAGTCGTCCTGTGGTGATGTGATTATATGTGGTGGTTGCATTTGAGCTGACTGTCGAAAGTGACTTCTGAGGTTGCGGATGTGAGGGGGCGGGAGATAGAGTGTGGCCGTCAATGGTGAAGTGGACATTCTGGATGTCTTTGATACGGGATGGGGGGCCGATGATGATGATGTCTGATTTGGCACTGTTCAGTTGGAGATAGTTTGTTTGCATCCATGCTTTTCTTTCTGAGAGGCAGTTGGTGAGAGTGGAGTGTGATGTGGGGGTGATGGTTTTTGTTGAGATATAAAGTTGGATGTCATCGGCGTAGCAGTGAAATTGAAGGTTGTGGCGACGAATTATTTTGCCAAGGGGGAGCATGTAAAGGATGAAGAGGAGGGGGCCAAGCACCAAACCCTGGGGGACGCCTTGGGACAGAGGAGCAGTGGAGGAGGTGCAGTTGTTGATGTTGATAAACTGATGTCTGTCGGTGAGGTAGGATTTCAGCCAGGAGAGTGCAGTGTCAGTGATGTTGAGTGATGATTCGAGGAGGGACAGCAGGATGGTGTGGTTGATGGTGTCGAATGCTGCGGTGAGGTCGAGGAGGATGAGGATGTTCAGGTTGCCGGAGTCAGAGGAGAGGAGGAGGTCGTTTGTGATTTTCAGAAGAGCTGTTTCTGTGCTGTGTTTTGATTGGAAACCGGATTGAAATGGCTCAAAGAGGTCATTGGAGCTGAAGTGGGATTTTAGTTGTGAGGCAATGACACGTTCAAGTATTTTTGACAGAAAGGGGAGATTTGAGATGGGCCGGAAGTTGGACATGATGTCAGGTGTGAGTCCAGGTCTTTTGAGAATGGGTGTGACAGCAGCCAGTTTGAGAGAGGGGGGAACTTGGAAACAACAACAACCATATATGTTGTTGTTTTCAATATCTGTCCAAACAATGTTATCACTACCTTTTGCCTATTTTATTTAATGTTTTTTGTTTTTTTTTGACAAGCAGATGGTGACGGGGAAGATCCGTTCGCTGCACAGGAAGAGGAAAATCCTAAACAGGAAGTTCCTCAGCTGTCCCCCCCTCAACCTGCTAGTCCCACAGGTATTGTAGTACAAGACAGCAAGAAGTACTACAGTCTGTACATTTGGATCTTAGACGCAGTAATTATCAGTCCAGCATGAGCCCATGGGCAGCAGCACTCATAGATAGTACTCACAAAATAAGTTGATATAGATACACATTATAGACAAAAGGTGGCTTGCTGTTGTGTTTATTTTATTTACATACAGTATGTTCTGCTGCATTGCACGAAATGTCCCATAGCTTGTGTCCACCCCTTAGGGTTGTGATCGTTTTTAGCTTTCAATTAGTTTTTGTTATATTTCAAATGTAGCTTTGGCTAAGCTAAATTCTAATCACTGCATGTTTTAAATTATGCAGGGATAAACTGCATTTGAAAAACTATTAATTGTTAGCACTTCCAGTTTAATGCCATCTTGTGGCATTCAAAGCCGGTAAAAGAATTCTGCGTTGCCTTCGTAAACCTCATAATATTTATGTTCCTGGAGCAGATCAAGAGCTGTTTGGAGTGAAGGCAGACTCCGACCCATTTTCCGGAGCAGATTTAAACCCCGATCCGTTTGGCAGCGACCCTCCTGTGAACCCTCTGGTAAACGGACGAGAGTCGGCAAGCCCGGAGATCTTTGACCTGTCCCGGCTCGCGCCCCCCCTCAGCGCCCCTGCTTCACGGTTGTGTCGAACCCCAGAAGCCTTCCTGGGACCTACGGGGGCCTCGCTGGTTAATTTAGACGCACTTATACCCTCCAACCCCGCCAGCAAGATGCACAACAACCCCTTCCTCTTAGGTAACAAACCAGAGTTGAAGAGCCCACCCACAAACTTTACTTGTATGTGAATGTGAATCTAGAACCAATAATCCTGTACCTCTGAGATGATCAATTCCTTTCAACGATGGTGGCATGATTTTGTGAAAGTTGCGTTTATGTAACTCACATGTCATGACGTCAAATTCAGCTGGAAACGCGCACGACACAAATAAAAAATACCATTAATATACAATTTTGTCCAAAGGAGGAGATTGTATTTTGCAACAGTTGCTCCATTTTACATAACAAATAATGTTAAACTAAACTAAAATAATGTTATACATATAAACAAATATTTAACAAAAAATAAAATAGAACTGAGCCCATTTTGCTGTCTATATCCAGGAAAAAAAATATATACAGTATATCAAAGTGTACTCTCAAAGAAAGATGACACAGGGCTGCTTGTAATGTCTGTGACATTTATTTTAATTAGCTTAAATGTATCAGGCCCTACACTTGTAGAAATGTGTTTATTAGGATAAACCCCTTGAGATGCACCATCTCGTTTTCAAGGGGGTCCAGAAAACTTCAGACGTGGAGATAAAAAAATAACTGCGTTGACACTTGAAACAATATGGGCCTACTGTTTCTAGGAATAAATAATAATGAAGAATCTAACCAAGGTGCAGGATCAATAATAACATTGATATTTAAAAAAGCATATCAACTGTCATCCCTAACTGTATTTCCAGAAATACTATTGTGATATTGTTAATCCTTTCCATCCTGTCTCCTCAGGTCTGAGCGCCCCGTCTCCCACCAACCCGTTCCACTGCGACCAGCCTCGCCTCACCCTCAACCAGATGCGACCGTGCTCCACATCCCCCCTGCCCCCCCACATGCTCTCCTACAGCCCGTCGCTGCCCCTCCCGCTGCACCACCAGCCCTCCGCCCTCCCCTCCTCCCTCACACAGCCTCACGCAGGACTCCTGGACCTCCCCTCCAACCTCCCCCAGCCCCTCCTGCCCCTCTCCCCCCGCCGGGCGCAGCACACTCAGTCACAGATACACAGCCACAACCCCTTCCTCTGAGACCCCCTGCAGCTTCTGAGCTCCGGTCTGCAGAGGGAGACGACAGAATGGACTTATTTTGGATGAATCTATGCCGACTACAACGAGACAAATGGGCCTGAACTGGACCGCGGATCCTGGTCTGATGTGATACAACTCGGATTGTATTTGTGTCTAAAGACATATCAGCTGCTATACAACCTGAACTCTTGAAGAAAAAGCAAACACACACACACACACACACACACACACACACACACACACACACACACACACACACACACACACACACACACACACACACACACACACACACACACACACACACACACACACATCAGGCGCACTTAAAGGTGCAGACACACACTTGCACACACCACCAAACTTACAGGGTGTATCTCAACTGTCCCTTCGATGCCTTTCCTCAATCAACAGTGATGACCCCGAGAACACTCTTTACCCACCGAGCCCAGAACTGTTCCTCAAGAAGATCNCTTAGCGACATTGGAGAATACCCAAAAGACAACACTGCCCTGACTGGTTTGTTTTGACACAAGAAACACTGTTCACGGGGAGTGCCTCCAGCTGTTTAACAAGCGGAACTAACAATCATGCTCATGTTAGCAGTTTAGCTTGGGGGTGAAAAGATGAGCAGGAAGTAGGAGTGGCAGATTTAGCAATGTAGGATATATATTAGTGTCCAGCCTCCTAAGGACAAAGAACACAGACCCAACTGCTTTGTTCCAAACAGTAACTAAACATATCCAAAATGAAGCTTTATTTCTCATTGCTGAATTCCCCGTGACTTCTATCTGCGACTACGCGCACATGTATATGTAGAGCATAATCACATTGGATCCTCGATCCATAAAACTAGAACTATACTCGCAACAGACCTCCAGGCTTACGGCTACATCCAATCTTCTATTCACCTTTTAAAAGCGAGTGACATGCACAAGCATTCTCCACACATAGTTAAATCGGTCTATTGCAGGTATAAAATTTTTACACATCATACATTGATCTAGCCGAACCAAGGAGTAGAGATCTTGGCAGTGTATTAGGCCGCTCGGCTCTGCTTCTCAGAGACACAGAACCACACTCTCACCTCCGCAGAAACTCCGTTCAAAGCAGTCAAAACGTTCAGCTTGGTCGGGAATCGATGGTTAGTTATTTCTTATTCATAACTTTCATAATTCCAGAGATATATCCCATAATTATCATCAAGTTTTTACAACCATGCGTCGAACAAACACAAAGCGGATGAAGCACGTCTCTGGTTCAAGATCCCTAGAACACACCTCTCATACAACGAAATGGCATACTCTGCCTAATTTGAGTCTCTTTCCCTCAGTATCTAGCGTTCTTTCACATGCCAGAACATCAATTCTTCCATCACTTTATAACTATGTCGAGCCGAGCGAGCGGGATATTTTCCTCTGTACATTATTTTCCGTTGCGCTCACATTGAGAAGCGAACTAATCGGTTGAAATCCTGACATTACATACTTTAGATATATGAAACATTGTTCAGGACCCTTGGTAAGTAGAAGGCCTTCTTCAGATTTTAGACATTAGTGTGTTATTGAGTCAGCTCGTTAATGGTGTGGTGATCTCAAAAGCTAGTGAGGACACCCGTAGAAACCACGATGGTTCGCTAAACTTCCTATGAAATTTCAAAAGAGTGCTCAAAACTTCACATCGTGTGCTACAGTCCCAGCCGTGGAAAGACAGTCTATTTGACCGTTTCTTTGGCAAACTCACAATGCTCATATGAAACACAGGTTCCCCACTCTCTTCTTTGATCTCGCTTTTTTGTTTGGGTTTCTTTGCTTTTTGTTTGCATCATATCTTTATATAATTCCTTGCGGTTCCTAAGTGTTTTCTTGATTGCAGCTACTTTCTTTCCGTATAGCAATGGTTTGGGCGTTTGAGATCTTCTGGAAGTAATATATAATATATATATAACACCAGATGTTAACACAGCCTAATCGTTGAGTGTCAACGTTGCTTTTAAACCTGTGGGGTCCATTACGTTCTCCATTCTTCAGATTGTATGAAATGCAGTTATATTCGCTTAGTTATGTTTGGAAATATATTCTACCCCAATAACATGTTTCATTTTCCAGAATTCCATTTCTCCTCAATGATCCTTCGACCGAGGGGTTTGATAACTCGGTTGTCGGTCACAAGATATTTCTGCATCCTAATTTTTTTTTCCGTTTCCTTGATTGGCGCTCCGGACGGATGGCGTAATTTGTTCCACGGTCGTCTCGTCATGATTAAATCCCTATATCGAGGCGTCCTCTTGGCCATTTTTTCTTGTGGAAAGATGAC